ACAGCACATTTTGTATTTCAGAAGGCGGGCCTTCATTTGATACAGGAACTATTCGTGCCGTTCATGCCAGACTGGGGAGAGAGGTGTTGTAATAATGTAAAATTTGTGAAAAATAATGTGTTTTTCAAACAACCTAGTATGAGAGCCTGTTCTAGTACACCCCCAAAACAAAATCAAGATTTTGTAAAAGAGCATAATAGGACCCCTTTAAGGCTTTATTTGAGCAGGAAACTGATTGACTAAGGGTGTATTCACACCAGGAAAGTCCGCTAGTTCACTTGCTTTGGTTTGGACCAAATACAATGTTGATTTTTTTTTGTTTAGTGTGATTCGCTTTCACACTGCCCTTTTTGCAAGTGAACCAGAATGGTAAACAAAACCACACCTGTGCTAAGGTCATCCATTCATTGGACAGAAATTCTCAAGCGTACCAGAGTTCGTTGGAACCGGACCGAGACCGGACCCGAGTGCGATTGCTGTATTCACACCTGCCCAAAAGATCCACACCAAGGGGGGAAACGACCTTGAGTTCGATTCAATCGAAACCAAACAAGACAGGTGTGAATACACCCTAAGTGAAACTGCACACTAAGGGTGTGTTCACACTTGCCATGTTTGGTTCGATTAAAAGAACTCTGGTGCAATTGCTCTGTTAGTGTGGTTCATTTGAGTAAGGGTGTATTCACACCAGCAAAGTCCGCTAGTTCACTTGCTTTGGTCCGGACCAAATACAATGTTGATTTTTTTGTTTGGTGTGGTTCGCTTTCACACTGCCCTTTTTGCAAGTGAACCAGAAATTGTAAACAAAACCACACGTGTGCTAAAGGTCATCCATTCATTGGACAGAAATTCTCAAGTGTACCAGAGTACAAACTCTGGTGCGGTTCAAATTAAATATGAACGCAACATGGACAAAAACAGGAAGTAATGACAATATGAGATGCTATGCGACATGATTTGATGACGCGGAACGAGCGATGTATCCAAAACAAAATGAGTGGAGGGCAAACGTGGAGCAACGAGGAGGTAAAGTGCCTTTTATGAGCTCTTCGTGAGTTTGCAGGTGGTGAAAATAAAATCATAAGAACACGCAGCAATGAGCGTGCTTAGTCCAGCCTGCATTAGGTTTGTTCGACTTAAAGCAGTGGAAACCGGTATAATTTCGAAAAATACCGTGATATAAATTTTTGGTCATACCGCCCAGCACTACGTTTACCCTATATAAATGACTTGGCTAATGGTTTAAAAAAATGGTACTACAGTAAAATGTCCAAAATTTGGATTTCGTTAGACTATTACCTCTGGTGCTTAGCTTTAACGCATCCAGGAAAGGGAGCTTCCGTTGTGTTGTGCTCATTTCGTTGTGTTGCGGCTTGTTTCCGTTATGTTGTGGCGATTTCATTGCATTGTGCACTAATGGGCCACCATAAGAAGTTCCTACATGAAATAGATTTTTTTTAAATAGATTTATGTTTTCAAAATTATTAATTTCCAATGATTTATGATTTTTATTGAATACTGTTTAAAATATACACACAATTTAATTGCAGCAACTGTTAAAAAAACTTGAAGCAACGTTTACATAAAGCAGAAACACTATTATTTATATGATTTATTAGATATTTATAGCATTATTTATAGCAGTATTTCACGTTTCAAATAAGAGTGTTTAAAAGCACAATTATGCAGGATGTGATCACTGAACATGATGAAATTTCACTGGTAAACTGGCAAGAACTACGACTATTAACATATATCAACAGTGTGTCATGAGTGTGAGAACAACATAAGAAACTGTCAGACTCCAGTCCGAGCATAACACGCACGCACGCGCACACACACACAGAGAGAGAGAGAGAGAGAGAGAGAGAGAGAGAGAGAGAGAGAGAGAGAGAGAGAGAGAGAGAGAGAGAGAGAGAGAGAGAGAGAGAGAGAGAGAGAGAGAGAGAGAGAGAGAGAGAGAGAGAGAGAGAGAGAGAGAGAGAGAGAGAGAGAGAGAGAGAGAGAGAGAGAGAGAGAGAAAGAGAGAGGGAGAGAGAGAGAGATGAACTCTCGTGCTCAGCAGGACAGTCTGACTGTCACTCATAAGTAACACACCTTCATCATCCTCATCACCACAGATATCAGTGTAAATCAGATAACAGCAGGCTGTCCTGATGGAAACACTCATACTAACGCACGCAGTTTCGTGTAGCATCATTTATAGGTGCTGTACTGAGTGTGAAACTGTCCCATGTAAACATAAATCTCCATCAGCTGAGTGGGTGTCGCTGCTCTTCCTGTCAGATAAAGCTCATCAGAACGACACTACAGTAATACACAGCGCTCACATTAACACACTGACCGGCTAACGGACGGATTTAGTCCTGTTTGAGATATTTCGCGCGTTCTGTTATTTTTGTGGTGATTTGGAGCTGCTAGCGGCTAGCTAGCGTGAGCGGCTAACGGCTGACTCGCGGCTCCGAATTGAATTGAACGCTGAACGGACGAGCTCTGTGGAGTGACGCGCGTGAGAGTGGAATGTGAACGCGCGGCGTGTGTGTTTGTCATGCATGTTCTCACCTGTAGTCGTGTGTGTTTGCTGTAAATCAGTGTGTTCAGGTGGTGATTATCCGGATCCTGGTCAAGATGGCGGCGGCACAAAGACTGACGCAGTTCCGCGGCTCACCGGCGAGCGGCGCCAGAGGACGCGCGCTTCACTGCACTCGGCGTGACCCGCAGCGGGCGCGCGCGCGCGCGTACACAGAAGCCCGTCCATCTTCTTTTAAGCCCGTTGACTCTCTTAAAGGGGTCATGTGATGCGATTTCAATGTTTCCTTTCTCTTTGGAGTGTTACAAGCTCCTGGTGCATAAAGAAGATCTGTAAAGTTGCAAAGACTAAAGTCTCAAATCCAAAGAGATATTCTTTATAAAAGTTAAGAGTCAGCCACACCTACCTAAAACGGCTCGTTCTAACACGCCCCCACATGTCTACGTCACGATGTGGGAAGATTTGCATAACGCCGCCCAAATGTTCACACAAAGAAAGAAGGCGTAACTTTTAGTCTCATATTAGTCTCATAACTTTTAGTCTTAGAAAATAATGTGTTTTTTGAACCTTAAACCGCATAAACACATTTCATTACACCAAATACTGTTCTTTTTAGCAGCATCATATGACCCCTTTAAATTTAAATTCACATGGAAAAATAAAAAGTTTAATTGTTGTTGTTATTATTATTACTATTTTTTTTTCTTCTGTATCCCCCTCTTGTTCTTGTTTGGTTCTCTGATGTTTCTTATTGAAAGAAAAAACAAACACATGAACTCTTTCAGCAAATCATCAGTGAAAAAAGTCGTTGAACAACAACCTCAAAGCACATATATTATATAGTGGTTTCACTTATAAATTCTAATCATAAAGGACTTTATCTCTATAAATAAATAAATAAATAATATCCTGAATTAGTGTCTGTTAGTTTGAGACCAAATATTATGTATCATATATTATGGTTGAGCTTGATGAAAGCAGTGAACACTGCATTTTGTGTAAAGCTTGATAAAACTGAACAAGTGTCTGTACTTTTCTTCCCACAATGTCGTAGAAGAGGCTCAAATGATGTCACTTATACATCATTTATAATAAGGATTATTATAAGGAATTATAAGGAATGTTACATTATTCTTAAAATTGTGAAAAATCTTGCAGTATTAGGATTGCTAAATGTTACAAGACTAAATGTGAAATTAAAATATATTTTTATGACATATGATTGTAAGGTTTTGGTTTTTGGAGGGTGACAGATGTGTTTACAACTAGCTACTTCTCATCCTTTGTTAGTTTTTATGTTAAAGGTCTTATAGTTGAAGTTCACTCTTAAAAATAAAAGTTCTTTGTTGGCATCCATGAAACCCAGTAAAAAATGAGAAACTAAAAGGTTAAAAATGGTTCTTCTACTATGGCATCGCTGTAAAAAAACCCGCTTTGAAATACAGAGTTCTGGCATGAAACTCTAGATGGCGCCAGGGCCGTTTCTAGCCATTTTGACGCCCTAGGGCCTAGGCGAAATCCCTATTAGAATTATTTCAGTCAAACCTATAAAACCCTTTGTTACCCCAAACTACATATAAAAGCCTGATCAGTGGCATAAAAGTAATCAGAATCGTGAACTTCCCCTTTAAATAACATGACACGCTGCCCTCTATGCTCCCATTGGGCGCTGTTGGAAGCGAATGAATTGATTCAGCATTTCGACACTTCCGTAAGGATGCATTAAATTCAACAAAGCGATTTAATAAAGGATGTATTTATCTTGTGAATTAGTGAATTTTACTACACCAATATTTTTTAATTGGCTGTTAAAGTTTTATATGGGAATATTAAATGACACGCTGAACCTTTAACAATACATTGGCGCAAAAACGCACACCTTTTGGACAAATTCACAACATGTTTTCTTGACTGCCACAAATACTGCCTAAAAAATACTGATTTTGTGCACTTTTTACTATACCAATATTTTAAATTGGCCTTTTTTTTAAAGATGTATTTTTGGCGTTTTATGCCTTTTATTTAGATAGGACAGTAGGTCGACAGGAAGCGAAATGAGTGGGATCAGGAAAGGTCCACGAGCCGGGACTCAAACTCAGGATGCCCGAAACGCAAAGGCACTACATGTCGGCACGCTGCCCACGAGGCCATCGGTGCCGACTTAAATTGGCCTTTGAACTTAGCTTTATTGCATGGCAAAAAAAAGTCTTACCTTGCCAAAGCACTGACAGAACCCATTGATCTAATGGCATTGTTGAGCACTCCAAATGCAAACTTTGCATGCAACAATCAGAGGCAGCAATTGACAGCGCTCTGATCCAAATGGCATACAGGCATCGTCAGATTGTGAGTACTGTAGCCCGATAATGTTGGGGGATCCAGTGGAGGCAGCAATCATATTTCAGGGTGGCCGTGCCACTCTTTATCACAACCCTGCTAAAATGTAGCGACAGTACATGCGCTCATTGGCGCCCCCTCCAGGTGGTGGGCCATAGGCGACCGCATAGCTTGCCTATGCCTAGAAACGGTACTGGATGGCACAGTCCGATAGGTCTAACTCAATCTGACGTAATGGTTCTCTCCTGTATCAGTAGCCAATGAGCTCGCTGCTCAACATTCAAATATATGACTAGTGTTTGCTGTAGCAGTTGCAGCTTGCCTCAGAACAGCGAAATCAGCATCTAAGATAATTGAATGCTCTTCTAATCCATATCGCTGTGTGTATTGCGTGGTCTCATAGGCGGAAATCCCGGGGGGGTCGGGGGGGGGACAGGACCCCCCCCATCTAAGGGTTGTCCCCCCCTAAAAATATGCTTAAAAACCACGCTATGTATTGTAAATAACAATGCTTTATACTTTAAATAATTGTGTAAGTAGTAAAGCAACGCAAAGCAAAATGCGTTTTAAGTTTATAAACCTTTTGAGTCTCCCCCTCCCTAGGCCTGTCGCAATAATCAATATATCGACTTATCGCACAATATATGTACATGACCTCAATAATTTCTGGTGACACAATATAGCGCTCATTATATTTACTTAAAAATTAATGTCACCATGTTTTGTACAGTCCGGGGGGGGTGGGGGGGGGGGACAGGCCCCCCCCCATCTAAGGGTTGCCCCCGCTAAATATATGATTAAAAACCACGCTGTGCATTGTAAATAACAATGTTTTATATTTAAAAAAATTGTGTAAGTAGTAAAACAACACAAATGGGGCAAAAAATGCATTTTAAGTTTAGAAACATTTTGAGTCTCCCCCTCCCTTGCCTCACAGTGCTTTGGTCCAAATGGCTGCTTTCCTCTTTTATATCACCTACACACACACGAGTCCGGTGAGAGAGAATAGAGTGAATAGTTGTGGAACTCCAGTAAGTAAGGCTGTCAAGGCTATTTTATTCACTTAAACATCAGAGGAAGTGATTATTTTCTCTTTAATTCATGATGCCAATGTGTTTTTCGATGAGTCCGCTATGTTAGCAATAATAACGTTACCTGCTTGAGGGAAAGGGTTGCCATGTATGTTATATTTGCAGCAGCAATATTTCTTACATACTCACAGCAGCATGTTGTGGATGTATTGGCAGTAGCAAGTCTCGGTACTTGCTCTAGAGCCCGCTCCAGTCCTTGAGTCCGCTTCAGCTCCCTTGTCACGGCCAGGAGTCCTGTTCCCTGTTCCAATGACTCCAGTTCCCTCGTCACGACCAGGAGTGCCGTTGCCTGTTCCAATGACTCCAGTTCCCTCATCACGGCCAGGAGTGCCGTTCCCTGTTCCAATGACTCCAGTTCCCTAGTCACGGACAGGAGTGCCGTTTCCTGTTCCAATGACTCTAGTGAGTCCAGCTCCTCC